CATTCTCTCTCTCTCTCTCTCTCTCTCTCTGTCTCTCTCTCTGTGTTTCCCAAGATCAATGACAATGTACACCAACGGAACCATTTTTTCGAACAAAATCCACAATGGGCAAAGAACAAACGGACAAAACAATCTCAACTAATCGCCTCTCTCTCTCTCTCTCTCTTCCCCCTTTTTGCTTCAAATCGCCTTAAATGTCGTGTCAAAAAATGGAGCTCGCAAGAGACATTCAGTCTCTTGGTGCCGCAGCAGAACTATTGAGACCACTCGCTCAACCGTCCTGTGTGTGTAACCATCATCATCATATCCATATCCCTCCTCCACCTTCGATACACCGAAGGTCGACCGTTCGAGCCCCACGTCCAACACCGGACACACGGCATGAAAGCCGCCGCAGCAGCCGCGGCAGCATGGACCTTCATCGTTCAGAAAAGTTAAACTTGGTTGAGCTTGGCGACGCCGTCCTTCTCCTGCTTTCTTCCAAGCAGGCCTCTTTCTCCCATCCCCCTCCCTTCATTAAGCCCGCCAGCCATCTTTATTTAAGCCCGCCAGCCATCTTCATTTAAGCCCGCCAGCCATCTTCATTAAGCCCGCCAGCCATCTTCATTAAGCCCGCCAGCCATCTTCAAAACACAACTTTCTCGATTCTCGACCAAGTCCACCCGTCCGTAGCTGCTTGCAGTCGGATACACCTCGGGTCTTTGTTGTTTGGACAGACTGAAACCGCCCTCTGCCGCCATTATTCCCTCCCTCCCTCTCTCTCTTTCCCGCGATTTTCCTCCCGCGGATCGGATTTCTCGCCTCTCCCGCCTTTTTTTTGGTCCGCCATCTCCCTCTTCCTCCCATCGCCGACATCATCGTCGTTGTTGCTTCTTCCTTACTCTTCTCTCATGCTCTCTCCCGCTTTTTTTTTCGGCGGCCAATCCATCACGAAGACTTGATCATCGACAAAGCCAGACGATGACACGTGTACATAAACGATGACGTCACCTCATCATCATCGCCGCTCGGTCGATCTCCCGTCATTCCGGGTCCGAAGGACATGAGCCCGAGGAGGAGAGAGTCATACGTGTCGTTCTCAGCGGAAAAGCCGGGACCACCACTGCCCACCCCACCATCTCAATGGGGATTACAAACCCACGACAGTTCAAGACATCCCCTCTCGTTCAAGACCTTCCCCTCTCTCTCTCTTTCTCTCTTTCTCTCTCTTTCGCCTAGCCGCCAATCAATTTCCGTCCATCCCATCCATTCCCTTCTTCTCATCGTTTTTCCACATTTACCCCTCGTTCTCCAGCCACAGCGCGCCAAGTCTTGATTAAAGCGCTCAAGTCTTGTCACAGCGCGCCAAGTCTCGGGTTAAAGCTCTCGAGTCTTGACACAGGGCGCCAAGTCTCTGGTTAAAGCTCTCGAGTCTGGACACAGCGCGCCAAGTCTCGGGTTAAAGCGCCAAGTCCGGACACAGCGCGCCAAGTCTCCGGCGGTTGAAGCGCTCGAGCGCGCCAAGTCCATGCAATGCCCTACACGGATAGAGAGCACGTGGAAAACGGCGGGAAAGCCATTGCGCGCCATCGCCCGACGCGGCAGAACTAGCCAGAGAGAGAGGTAACGCGCGACGCGTTCCTCTTTGCCTTATGATGAAATCTTCAGAGGGGTCATATATAGCGTGCGTGGGTGTCCCTCCCTCCCTGTGCCAAGCCAGAGGACCCCTGTCACTGGGGAAAAAGGAGGAGGGGCCCGTTAGAGAGGGGGGGGCCGAAGGAAGAACAGCGGGAATGGATCCGAGAAAGGAGAGAGATGGAAAGATGGCAAAGCGAGAGAGTTGCGCTGTTCAAACGCCAAACCCAGCCACTCACCTGTCAATGGAGAGCACGGCATCAACAAAAAAAAGCACCATAGAGGAGCTGCAACTCTCTTCTTCCTCCTTCCCTCTCTCTCTCTCTCTCTCTTTCTTTCTCTCTCTCTCTCTCTCTCTCTCTCTCTCTCTCTCCCCGCATTTTTACAGAACTCCGATGATCTACATAGCACCAGCTTTTTCCGCTTGCGAGTGGAAAACTAATCATCATCAACCATTGATTGTTAAATCAACGACAGCAATTTATTTCTAGACTGGACGAGAAAGGAAATAAAGCATTAGCTAGTGTAGCAATCGTCTGGCCCGAAATTTAAAAGGCGCGCACGCACGCACGCAAATCTATCAGGCGTTGTCGTCAACGAAATTTATGTATATAAGAAGCAGAGCAGCACCGACCTCGTTCGTTTCACGAAAGCACCAAAGGGAAAGAAAAACAAAAACAAAAAAAACAGAAATCTCCGTGTTGCCTGCGGCCCAGTCCTCCGCAGAGTCACCGACTCTACTCTCTCTCTTCTAGACACTACTCTCCCTCTCTCTCTTTCTCTCTCTCTCTCATCTGGTGAGACACCACCATCTCGCCGGCCGAAGAGTCCCCTCAAGGACACGCCAGTAGCAACTGCTTTACAGGGTACCAACGAACGAACGAATACGACAAAATAGCACTTCCGAAAAAAAAGGGACCAAAGCTCCAAAAAAAAAAAAAACGGACACCCCCAACCAATCCAATCAGCCCTGTCGTTTCTCAATCCATCTCGCACAACCCCCACACCTCCACCATCTTCCCTTCCCTTCCATCTTCCCTTCCCTTCCATCTTCCCTCCATCTTCCCTTCCCTTCCACCTTCTCTCTCTCTATCTATCTCTTCCACAAGCAACCGTTGACGTCACTTCTTTTCTTCACCACAACCATCCATTCTCTCTCTCTCTCTCTCTCTTCCACAAGCAGCCGTTGACGTCACCACTTTCTCTCTCTCTTCTCTCTTTTCCACAAGCATCCGTTGACTTCACCACTTTTCTTCACCGCAACCATCCATTCTCCATCAATCTCTGGAGGATTCCTCCTCCTCCTCAATCTGCGCACTCTAGTCCACAGATAGGTAGCAAAGCGAGAGAAAAAGAGAGAGAGAGAGAGAGAGAGAGAGGGAGAGAGGGGGATTTGCAAACCGCCAGCCAGGGAAACAACTGACCTCCGACAATTCGCCGAGTAAGTGTGGTCCCCTTGAATAGGAACAAATCCGACTACCACCACCGGGACCGAATCCAACCCTGCAGTCGATACGTCTCGTCCTCGTCTTTCCTCCTCCCCCCTGCGCGTAATCAAAGCGGCTAGCCCAGCACCCACGGACCCAATCCACACCCAATTCAATGACAGAGCAGAATGGTCTGTCCCGAAAACTATTGGAATGTACAAAGGCTGGTGTTGGGCAGAGGAGTACAAGGAGTGCAAGGAGGAGGAGGAGGAGGTGGTAGGCTCAATCACCACCATAGCCATCATCGTGAACACGAGGAAGAGCGTCATCCTCACATCATCGTAATGCCGTCCTCCGAAATTAAAACTCACACAAAATTGAAATTGGTCAAAGACAACCACGTGGCAGCCCTCCTCCTCCTCCCTCTCTCAGAAACACTATCCTCCCTCTCCCCTCCAGCGACCTAAATCCTCCTCCCTTGCGATGATCGCCAACGGTCAAAATTTCTCTCCCTCCATTCTCTCTCTCTCTCTCTCTTTTCCTTCAGAACCCACTTCGTCGACGTCAGAACAGCCTTGCATGTCACCTAGAGACCCCACTTGCAAGGAAAAAAGAGAGAGAGAGAGACAGAGTGTAGTACTACCCGGACAACAAGAGGCGATGCTTGTAGTAGATGCGCACGATAAGACGAAAGAAGCCTTCCATGTCGCCTAGAGACCCAACCGCACCACACTTAAAGCGGCCACTCTCCGCGCAGAGAACAACGCACATCGTCATCAACGCGAACAGCTCGCACGCATGTCACGTAGAGAGAGCCCGCACTCACTCACCGCAACAGCACTTGCCTGGACAACAAGACGAAGGTTCATTATTCGTGGCGCTAATTGCAAAATGCTACGTGGTGTTCTGTTCGAGCGCACACACCCGCTGAGTACACACGTGTACGTCCCCTGCGCTGGCAACGACCTCCTTTCTCCTTTCTCCTTTCTCCTTCCCTTCATCGTGCCCTCCTGCCCTACATTGCCAACGCGAGTCCGAACGGTCGACCCACTCCCTCACGAGACACAGAGAAAGCGCGACGAACACTTCACTACCGAAGCGGCTACCCAGCCAAAAGATAGCGGCAATGCGCCGCCTGTAGCCATCAGCGAGAGCGGGGCAAGATGACACAAGGGGTAGAGAGGATGAGTGGACAAGGTGGAGAAGGGTAGGAGGAGGGTTCGCAAGCAGGCGGAGTAGCAATCAGCTTGACGAGGGGGTGCATACGTTTGAGGCCATCCCGACCATCGGGGGTGACTAATGCTCAAGGTCAACGAGGATACTGACATCGGGGTGCAGCCCCGCCTCTCCCATCCTTTTCGACTGCGGTTCCACGACCGTCGGGATACATCAACCCACCCACCCACCCACCAACATCCTCAATTCCTGCACACACGACGCCTTCCGCGCTTTGACCGATTGATTGATTGCTTGAACGACGACTGAGTGGACTAATCAGACGGACGGACTGATTGATTGTTCATTGGAACGTTCGCCTAAAACACTTCGCGCAGCTAAAACCTACATACCTACCTCCCCCAATCAAACCCACCTCCCAATTGTTTCGATGATCAATCCATCACATTGAGAGCGATGGCCGGCCTGAATTGCTCGTGCAGCGTTCCGTCGGGATACCGTGACTCGTACCCCATGACCTGTCGCAAGATCAGGTCGCGCAGTCGACGCAGCTCCCTGCCCTTGAGAGTGCCCCCTCTCCCGTCGGCCACCGAGAAGGCAACCATCTTGTGCGAGTACTTGGTCCTCGCAACCAGCTCGTGGGGGTATATCCGAATCTCGTTGTTCCAATCATTATCACCGACATCGTCATCGTCGCTCTGAGGGGAGTAGGCCCACCTCCCCCCCATCTTCCGCTCCGCCGCCACATGGGCGAAATTCACGGGCGCAGATTGCTGCCATTTGGGCAGCACGGCCACTTCCACGTCATTCCTCCCACACCCCCCCCCCCTGGCCCCCCCCGCTCCTCCGCCTCCTCCTCCTGCTCCCCCTCCCCCTCCTATCGTACTACTCAAAAACGACAGCCCTTTCTTCTGAGGACCGTTGACTGATTGATTAGCGGTCGGGATGGGCTTCGATCGCGTGTTGCTACTGTTCCTCATCACGCCGAGCCATTTGCTCTGCATTCGAGGCGACGATAACGAGGGTAGATCCCGCTCGGGGAAGCCGCCGTGTACAGCCCCCGCGGTCCCGGCCGCCGGCATGTCCGCGGCCGAGCTGCCGCACATCCTCATCCCGATCGGGGCGCCGCCTACGCCGAAATTCTCCACTAACCCGCAACGGCCGGCGGTAAGATTACCGCCGCAGGTGGCGCCGGGGAGCGCGGCGGCGCTGCCGCTGGTGCTGAGCTGCTGCTGGCCGTTGTGCACAAGCCTGACAACACTCTCCGCACCCACTGTCAGACAACCTCCTCCTGCTGCCCCCCCCCTTGCGAGCCGCGCCGCCGACACACCGCTGCTCGCCCTCAGGGTGCTGCTGTCAGTAGTTGTAGCTCCTCCTCCCAATCCCACACCTCGAAGCTCAGGCCGGATGAGGCCAACATGAGCCACTCCACTTCGTCCTCTATTGCTCGACGACGAGCCCGAATCTTCCCCCGAAACTTCCCTGGAACTGACGTCATCGGACGACGTTTCTGAGGAGGACACGTCAGCAGCAGCATGGCCACGTTTCCTGCTGCTAATCGACGGCACCGCCTGTTCGTGCTGCTGCTGCTGCTGACTCGGCACCGCTTGCGCGTAATGAACGTGGTCGTCTTCCTCGTAATCATGATGATGATGAACCGAGGAGCCGTTGAAGGAGTCGCGGCGCGCCCCCAAGTCTCCACTGTCGGAGATAAACGAGCCCTCCGACGCTGTTTCATCGCCATCCGACGCGTCCTCATATCCATGGTCGAACACCTCCTCCTCCCCCCAATCGCAATCATCTTCCCCCATCCCGACATGCGCCCCAAGCACAGCCTGAGAAACTGTACTCACCAAAGGCATTCCCATTTCTTCCTCTTCTCCTGGCCTCCACATTCCTCTCTCTCTCTCTCTCTCTCTCTCTCTCTCTTTCTCTCTCTTGGACGCTTGTTATCCCCTCCCGATCAGTCTCTCGCTTCGATTAATCAATCAATCAATCAATCAATCGAAATCAATCAATCGCGATAATCGAGGGCAGACTTAATGTGGTAAAGAAAGGCGCTAAGTGGTCGTAATCCCACAAACCAACCCTCCTCCTCCTCCTCCTACTCCTCCTACTCCTCCTTCAAATGCGCCTCTGTAATGCCGCTCTCTTTCAAACCCCCATGCAAATCGACTAGTCTCTGCAAAAGACTATAGCCAACCTGTGGCTAAAGCACAAGGCAGGACAACCGAGGACGAAGAACACTTTATAAAGTGAACCTTGAACCTTGATTAGGAAGAAGCGAGGCAGAGTTCCTTCCTTACAGCGGTAATTGCAAAACACCCACCCCACAGGAGATTGCCTGCTTGCTGCCCGCGACCCAACCTGCTTGCAAGCCTTCTACGCCGACAACGTACCTCTGACTTCGGCCACACACAGACAGAGGCTGCGTAAGGAGATTGATTAGTCCTTTTCGTTCACAAAGCTCAGGAGTATAGAGGCGGCAGTTAAGGAGTAAGCAGGTCGACAGATAGTGGTAAGCAGAACGAACACGCAGGTGCTGTCTGTAATCGTCTCACCACACAACGATGCGCTCCTCTCTCTCTCTCTCTCTCTCTCTCTCTCTCTCTCTCTCTCCCCGAGTGCGAGGAAAGAATGAATAGACAAACGAGTACGAGTCAAGCACAAATGGGCCGCAATTTCAAAACGGAGAGTCTGCGCTCGCGTCCCCGCAGAAAGACCCCAAGAGCGAAACAGATGGCAAATGAGATTGATTGAAGAGAGAGATGGGTTGATGGGAGGGCGAGAGAGTTTAGCGGAATCACGTGACAGAGACTTGGTGGTGGTAGGTAAGAGGAAAAAGCTGAGACCGCGGCTCTGATAACAAGGCTAAGTTACGATGAGGATGGAGATGACGATGAAGTAACAACGAGAGGACGAAGAAGAGAGAAAAGAGAGAGAAAGAGAGAGAGAGAGAGAGAGAGAGAGAGAGGAAGAAGAAGAGGTGTGAATGCGGAGCGAAGAGAGGAAACTGAAGAGAAAGAAGATTCAAAAAACTGGCGTCAATCACTCGACGTTCTGAGTGGGAAAACAGTATATCCTCTTCTCCTCGAGAGGGGGGATGTTGTTGTCAACAAGAGAAATCCGACAACGACGACAAGCTCTCTTCTTCTGCTGCTTCCACGTTCCTTCTACTAAACACGAAGCGAAAGGAAGAAGGGGGGGGGGGGGGAGGGGGGGGGATAGGATGAGAGGGAGGAGAAAAGCTGAACGAGCAGAGCAGAGTGCCGCACTAGTGAGCGCATGCGGATGCTCCAGCGCGCAAGTACCCGGTCAGAGAGACGAGTGCAACGAACGACAGCTTCAGACACCGAACGAATAAAACCACCACAAGAAGAAAGAAAGAGGAGATGGACACACACACACACACACACACACACACACAGAGAGAGAGAGAGAAGAGTTAATCTTCTCCCTACCTACTAGCAGTGTATCTCGTCGCCAGCCACGCCCAACGGCTGACAACGCAATACGCGAATGACAAACTGCTCATCTACGGCCAATACAAATCGCAAAGCCTTCGAATGCTACGCACCATCGCTCGCCTTCAATGCTTCCCCTCTCTCTCTCTCTCTCTCTCTCTCTCTCTCTCTCTCTCGGTCGGTTATACGCAAAAGCGCCGAAGATGCAAGGAACACAGCGGCAACCTATTCATCCATCGATTTCACGAGAAGGATGATAATGATGCTGGATGGTAATGAGAGATATGATTATGATGATTATGATGATGATGATGATGATGATGATAACTGATAACGATGAGGAAGACGAAGATGATACGCTAGACGACGACGAGACGCGCTTCGCTCTCGTGGTAAGTTTCCCTGGTTGAATCCCAACTTCGTATCCTATCTCCCTCTTTCTCTCTCCCTCCCTGACGCTGCTGAGGTTTGTCTCCTTCGTCTCATGCCTATTCGCGACAACCTACTTCAATCTCTTCCGCTTCCTCCTCTTCCTCTCCTCTCCTCTCCTTTACACACCACCTCAAGAGTGCGTCATCTATGTTTTGATATGCGTAACAAAGCGCATGCCCGACGGTGCTGGAGGTCATTCATTCATATCTCATTGATGCCAACAGCGCGTGACTTCGCGGCAGAGGGCACCAGTCAAGGTGCCACATCCACCACCACACCCGCACACCTAGCGAACCTCTTTAAACGCCCCACCAGCAGGGCAGCGTCATATAGCGAAGAACAAGCCCACACAAACACATACCCACACACACACACACACACAGACAGACACACAACAACCTACAGACCGAAAGCCTGAGATGGGCGGTGGAACAGATTGCCAGTGATAGTTGATGAAAGGCAAACGTGATGACATGCAAGAAAGAACACTCCTCTCTCTCGTCAGACTCGACGCGAAACGGCTCAGTTATGTAGGCAGGACTCTGATTTACCTTGCGAAAACCCCACTCCTTCCCCCTACCTCCCTACCTCCCTCCTTTCTCTGTCTCTCCCTCGTCTCTCTCCCCCTCCCTCCCTCCCTGCCTGCCTCTGCCTCTGCCTCTGCCTCTGCCTCTCTCTAGCTACCGGCGACTGTCCGCCCATACCAATTGGCAGCCAAAACAAGCTCAGGGAAGGTGTTCTTTTCCCGGGGCAAGGTCCCACTTGCATTGCACGAATTTTTAAGAGATGCTCACCGTCGCGATAGCAAAGATCAACGGCCCAAATCTCCTCATTTGCGCAAGTGGGACCTTGCCCCCCCTCTGCTATGGGAAGAGTGCGAGTGGGAGCAGACCCATGGCTTCGCCCACAACTGTGATTTCAACTACTCCTGGGGCAGGGTCCCACTTGCGCCAATTAGCAGATTTAGGCCGTTGATCGTAACTATCTACGGTTAATATCGCGTAATTCGTGTAAGTGGGACCTAGCCCCTGGTTTGCCTGCTCAGTTTAAGCTGGGGCAAGGTCCCACTTGCACGGATTAAGAAATTCTGACCGTTGATCTTCGCTATCTACGGTCAATATCGCTTATTAATAATTCGTGTATGTGGGACCTTGCCCCCGGGTTAGGTAGGTTTCATAGGATACGGACGCTGGACCTCCTTTCAGAGGTAGCTTCTTTTTTTTTTTTTTTTTTTTTTTTTTTTTTTTTTTTTTTTTTTTTTTTTTTAATTTTTTTTTTTTTTTTTTGGGGTTTTTTTTTTTTTTTTTTTTTTTTTTTTTTTTTTTTTTTTTTTTCTTTTTGAAGGGGGTCTCATTGAAGGTAGAATAGAAGGTAAGGACGTTGGACATGATTTCCAGCATGAGTGAGCCTAAGGAGGGCCTCGCCACACCACTGTCGAAACGAAAAAAGTTCAAAAAAAAAAAAAAAAAAACGAAAAAAGCAAGAAGTAGTGCATCTTCCTCAAAACGTGGCCAGATGCATATGTTTCAAGTCATAGGAAAGGATGCATCTTGCCACTTTGTGTGGGAACATGCATTTGAACGTTTTTTTGGTTTCGTTTCGACAGTGGTGCGGCGAGGCCCTAAGGTGAGTATTGGCCTCAGTATTCTGGAGCATGGTCCCACTAGCAACGGGTATTGGATTGAGATCCTGAATCTGGGCGGGTTCAGGCAGAGATGCAGAAAAGGAGTGCAATCTCGATTTTCTACACTTGTCCACAAACGCGGCCAAACGAAGGCGTTCAATACAATCCTCTTTGCTGTGAGGTGGGACCTCGCCCCCGGGGCCAAGTCCCACTAGCTGCGTTGAGCTACCTCAACGCCTGAATGTGGACGCTTTTGCGGAGATGTGCAGAAATGGTGTTGAGTTTCCTGAACTGCAGTCCACATTCAGGCGTTGAGGTAGCTCAACGCTGCAAGTGGGACGTGGCCCCCGGGTAGAATATCATTGGACATGATTTTGATATTGAATCGAGTTTGAGAGAAGAA